TCCAGCCTTCATTAACTGGATCGTGATAGGCTTCATTGAATATCTCCAATTCTTAGTTTCTGGGCAGTAGTCATTAAATATCTCCAATTTTGAATCACCCATCTTTAGGTAATCAGGATTCTTTTTAAGTATTTTCATCAGGTCTTCCTTCTTTGCAAAATTATGGAATCGAATTATTATATTTCTGGGTGTTATTTTATTTCTTCCAGCCAGAAGGCGATGAACTCTCTCTATATCCAATTCTGACCAGTTCAATGCCGGCGTAATCTTTTGCAACCACCTCAGGATTTCGGCTTTCAGGTCTTCTTTTTTATTCCCTTCTGGATAATTTTTAATTATTGCATTATTCCTTCTTTGATTGTCTTGAATAAACAAACTTTCTTTCCATATCTGAAAGTCTATTTTCATTTTGTTGTGTTTGCCGTTTGAGTACAAGTTGTTCCTGTTTACTTTTTTCAATTTCTGCTTTATTCATTTGTATTTCTCCATGTATTGTTTTCAAAGCTTCTTGTATTGCCTGAAATTTTCTATCTGAGCTTTTTTGTTCCACGTCCAACTCTGTTTTCATTTCTTTAGTACTGGTCAGAATCTCTTGCTTTAATAACTGAGTCTCGCTTTTGATCAGATCTGCTATTTTACTTAACATTTGACTACTGCTCATTTCTTTCTCCGATTTCCCCGGTTCTTCCCTCTCACTTCTTTCTTCTGATCCAGTTGGTTTTGCAGTTAGACATGGCAATGACGTAGAGGTACTACCCCCTATTTGGGGGGGGGTCCTTCTTAGCTGATTACCCCCCTTCATTGAGGGGGGGGGCTACGTCTAACTGCACTCATATCTTTAGGGAGCTGAGGAACCTGGGGAGTCTCAGGATTTTTCTCCACCCTTTCCAATCTAGAAAGTCTTGAGAGAGATCTATCTGAGGGTTTTATACGTTCCCACAGAGGGTTTTTTGAAGTCTCTCTTGGTGTGTCTTTCCCTTGATGTGTCTTCCTACTCCTACTCATTCAGTCATTCAGCACAGTCCAAGAATTTCCAGCCAAATATGTCTTGCAACACTTGCAACACTTCCCTTATACCGGAGAATTCGCTTTAACTGACGATAGTAATTCACTCCTTCTTCATAGGAAAAGCATGCCTTTGATCATTGCTTTTTGCCTTTCAAAATCATTAAATCCAGTCTCTCAAAAGTTTTATTTAAGTAGCAAGGCTTATGACGCACTTGTAATTTAAAGGTTAGTTTCACTTTCAGCCGAAGCCGAAGCCATCTTTTCACTCCCTTTTCACTCCCTCTGCTGGAGCTCATAAATCAAAAGCAATTAAACGGTAATAATTTACCTTTTAGGCTTCCTCTTTTTCAGCTCCTTAAACACACCGCGCTTTCACCTCTTTTCCAGTCCATAAAGAGAAATCCTTGATCCATTTATCACTGCATTCTGCTCTTTTGCTCGGGAGCTACAAAGAAGACGTCTGCTACCCGGCCATGGTTGGCTCCTCCCCCCGACAGTTATGAATCTTAATCAATATTTTAATTAATGAAGTCAGTCTCTATTTACTACAGACTTTGACTAGGCACACTCATATAAATCTGATATTGTCATGAATAAAAAGAGATTCAATGCCCTGAGTATAATTTCAGTGCCTTATATTTTCACCAGTATAACTGAGAAGGAAAGCTTTGTAAACTGTAACAGAAACATTCACTCTTCAGTTCAGTTATCCCTTACATAACTAAGTTGTCCTAAATATGGGCTCCCCTTTTAAAAGCTGCTTAAATATGATGTTTGGGATATATATATATATATATATATATATATATAAATTCTGGATCCATAACTAAGGTCATCACCACCACTGTGGAAAACGAATGAATGCACTTCATCAAGATGGCAATAAGTATTTAATTAAAAGGGACAAATTGATTTGTTTTTTTATTATTGTTATGGTCCTACTTGATATGTTAATGTTTTTAAGTTTTTTAACCTTTTTATGATGTTGATGGCATTGAATTGTTGCCTTGTGAACTGCACCGAGTCACCTGCGGGTTGAGAGGGGCGGTATAGAAATGTAGCAAATAAAATAAAATAAATAAATAAAAAAATTATGAATAGTCAAAGGACGCATAAAGAATGGTAGCATCTTTCCTCATCAGGAGCATAAACCATAACCCTTCCTGAACAGGGCAGACACCTAAGTAAATTAATCCCAGTATAGGGAAATAGATTGCCTTGGTAGGTGGTGGATGCTCTTAATTTGAAGATATTTAAACAGGGGTTGGAGGGTGTGTGAAATAGTTCCACGACTGGGCTAGATTGTCTTCATGATCTACTTTGTGCAGGTTTGCTTGGACCATCCTAGACTGCTCATCTCTGTTATGAACTCAGGAACAAAAGCATGTCTGTAAAATATAAGGATATTGTAGTTTCTATTTTTTAAAAAAATAATGTTTTTGAGCTTACAAGCAAGGCTATACAGTATGATCTCCCTATCCATGGGGTAAGCATCCGGTCTAATGTATCTGCAATCAAAAAAAGCAGTTCTCTCAAGGCAATTCTAGGTCATCCAACTCTATGATTTTTTTCAACCAGAAGTCCTTTATTTAAATAACATTCATGATTATCCTTGATTTCACATATCCACATGAAAACCAGAACATATCCCCCACAGATATGGAGGCCATACTGCACTATGTCTCAGCTAAGTGGTACTGAGGCATTTTAATAGTTTGGGTAATTCATGTGCACCTAATCTCAGATTATTAAATCATGTGGAACTGTGCTAACTAATATGTACCATCAGGCCACAAAGAGAAAATGTCAACACACATGCAAAGAAACTTGCAGGTACACTACAGATTTTCAGACATGGATGCTGACACTTTTGATCACATCGGTAAAAAATAATCCAGTTGAATTGGATTCAAAGATCATACAGTTTGCAATCTTAAATCCTGGAGCAGGAGAAAGGTGGTATATAAATAAAATAAATTTTAAATATTTTCAATTTTGGACCTGTTAAGAAAGTCAGTGTGAAATTTCTGACTAATCTCTTTCAGGATTTTCGTATGAAAAGCCAAGCGAAAATGCTTTGTGTTTCAAAATGAATAAGTTGGATGAATAGATAACTAAAACAGCAACAGAGTCCCTTTGGGGATATGGAGGCGGGGTACAAAAATAAAGTAAAAATAAAGAAATGTTACATTAAGTTTTGTTTTTGGCTTAATTTGCTTTTAATTAACTTATTTCAATATTAATGTTAAGTCAATACAGAACTCATGGTATGGTATAATATGGGGTAAGGGCCTATTTTTAACAATAACTCTCAAGCAGTTAGAAACTATATTTATCTGACATCTAACAATACCCATGGGTGCCGGTTAACTGAATATCTACTGTATAAGGAGAGAAAGACAGTAGAGACAGCTCTAGAGAGTGGCATTTGTGTGTGCAGGTATTATTATTATTAACTTTATTTATACCCCACTTTTCTTCCTGTGGGAACTCAAGGTGGCTAACAATTCCACACTAGACAGGTTTAAAAAGTATAATGCAGAAGTTAAAAAACAATTAATTAGTAACAATGTGGTAAAAACAATTAAAACACAATAAATGGATTTTAACACTCAAGCAACTCATTGGCTGCTGGTCTCTAGTAGCTTTTAATTAATTGATCTGCCGGTTCTGCTCTAGGTAGCTATACGAAGAGACTACTACTAAGAGATATTAATGACCTCTAATTATAGGGAGCAAAGCTGCAGAAAGAAAAATAGGATGAGAGGAGATATGATAGCCATGTATAAATATGTGAGAAGAAGCCAAAGGGAGGAGGGAGCAAGCTTGTTTACTGCTTCCATGGAGATTAGGACAAGGAACAATGGCTTCAACTACAAGAAAGGAGATTCCATCTGAACATTAGGAAGAACTTCCTGACTGTGAGAGCTGTTCAGCAGTGGAACTCTCTGCCCTGGAGTGTGGTGGAGACTTCTTCTTTGGAAGCTTTTAAACAGAGGCTGGGTGGCCACCTGTCATGGGTGATTTGAATGCAATATTCCTGCTTCTTGGTAGGCGGCTGGACTGGATGGCCCATGAGGTTTCTTCCAACTCTTTGATTCTATGATTCTATGAATAAATTGAACTGGGGGAAAATCTCATTGTTCCTCAAATAGAACAACAAATCCAAATTTGAATCTCATGCAAAGATCCAGGTTTTCAGAATAGAAGTCATAGGGAGAAGAAACAGAAATTCAGTATTTAAAAGAACACATTTCATGCTAAGATTGTGCCTAATTGCACTTTTAAAATCAGGCAGTCTGATATACTTACGGTTGAGTAAAATCTCGAGTAATGAAGTCTGAACTCTTGAAAAGTAGGAAGATGTCACTTAGGCATTTACATTTCAGTGAGCTATTCATTGCTATCCAGTAGGCATCCTAAACAAAAAGTATTTCAGACATAGTTTAATGGCATGTTCCACACTGGCATTACTCGACCAGTGAAAAACACAGAGAACATGATCTGAAAAGTATGATGGATTTGGATGGGAGAGACTTGGACAAATGATATTTTCCACTGGCTTCCACACACTCCACTCTAAGTTTCTACAGCAAACAGAGATAAAAGTGATACATATATGTCAAAGGATAATGATGTTAGGAAGACTGAAGTATGTAGACCATCTTCCACATTAGAAAAAGCTCTTAACCATTGATATTCATGGCATTCTACGAAGGCCGGGCCTAGAGTTAGGCAAACAGAGAGGGCTATTAAAAGTAGAAAGATTGTCATGTAAAGGCAGTGATGTATTTTTGTATTGTTGTATTTGAGGACTGTGTCCCTTATGAAGAAGGAAGAGAGTAGAAATTCCTCTGTAGCAGGGACTTAACTGTGGAACTCTCAACCCAAGGAAATCAACTGGGTCCATCTATTTGAAGAATCCAGCCAACAGCCAAAACGTGCTCTTCCACATGGCATTCGGTAGTTGAAAATGCTGTTTTAACAAAACTGGGGGTCTAGGATTGTTTTTAGACCTTTGGGAGTTTTAAAACAATGTTTTAATGTGCCTTAAATATTTTAATACTTCTATTGTATTAATTTGTTCGTTGTTTCGGAATTCTTGTGTGTTGGAAGGCAATATAGGGATACTTTAAGTAAATAATCTATACACATAACTTAACTAAACATAATAAAAGTGAAAAATGTATATGTGTATGTGGCAGAGGTGTCCACTTACACAGAAAGTCTCTCACCTCCACAAACAAGCTATGGTTCCAAGTGTTGAGAAGCCTCCAAAGGCACTCCCTCAACTGACATTACAGGTTACAGCGAGCACCATGAACATGTAGCACAAATGCTGCAAATGTCTTCCCCAAACACTACAGCCCAAAGAATGCTTTCAATCAGGGATAATTTCATCCCAGATTTGACATGTTTTCTCCACCACAGGCAGGCACCCCAAGGTTCCTTGTGTCGAATTTGCATGACCCCGCCCACTGCCTCTCCCTTAACCCTTTCCTACTCTTTCTTATGGCACACAGCAAACAGAGAGGAATTGATCAGCAACTGAATAGACTGGAAGGGTTTGGGGAACTCATTCAACAGGATGGAAGTTTTAGTTCACCCTGCATCAAGGCAGAGCACTCTCACCACTTTCGATAATGGACCTGGACCACATTTGGTGGAGTTTGGGGGTCACTGACCTTGTATCTGGGAGTTATAGTTCATCCTTATGCAGAGAGAACTAAATCCAGTCAATGTCGGATCTGGACCAAACTTGGCACACAAGACCCAACATGGCTAACTGTGAATACTGGCAGGGTTTGGGGGTGTTTGCCCTGGGAGCTGTAGTTCACCCATATTCAGAGAACACTGGACCCAGTTGACAGCATATCTGGACCACATTCGGCACACAGACCTAACATGGCCAACTGTGAATACTGGCAGGGTTTAGGGGTGATTGCCCTGGGAATCTGGGAGTTGTAGTCCACTTGCATCCTGAGAACACTGAACCCACCGATGACAGATCTGGAACGAACCTGGCACACAGACCCAACATGGGCCAACTTTGAATACTGATAGGGTTTGAGGGTGATAGTTCTGGGAATATGGGAGTTGTAGTTCATCCTTATCCATAGAGCATTAAACCCAGATGATGACGGATCTTAACCAAACTTAGCACACAAAACCAACATGGCCAATGGTGAATACTGGCAGGGTTTGGAAATGACTGACCCACGATTCTGGGAATTGTAGTCCACCCACATCCTTATGCATTTTCTAATGGGAGCATTCATAAAAAAGCAAAAGGAAAGACTGCTTATTACTAATAAACAGTGTTATGTTAAACATTACCAAACGGATATTATCAAACTTCTCAAAACAAACAACGCCTTTTTCAAATAACCTGGGCACCGCCAGGTCCCCAAGCTAGTAAACAATAAATCAAGTTAGTTGCTTTAGATTCTCTGTTCTGCCTTAGGCAGCCAAAAAAACAAAAACAAACTCAAATCCTGTCTGTGGGATCAAGCATTTGCAGAATAGACTGATTTACTGGTGAATATAAGGTTCGAGGAGGGAACCTTATATAAGGCAGGGAGTTTCAGAAAAACATGTATTTCTGCTTCATTGACTATTCTAAAGCCTTTGACTGTGTGGATCATAATAAATTGTGGCAGGTTCTTGGTGGGATGGGCATCCCAAGCCACCTTGTCTCTCTCCTGAGGAATCTGTACAAGGACCAAGTAGCAACAGTCAGAATTGACCACGGAACAACAGACTGGTTCAAGATTGGGAAAGGCGTACGGCAAGGCTGCATACTCTCACCCAACCTTTTTAACTTGTATGCAGAACACATCATGCGATGTGAGGGGCTTGATGAATGCAAAGCTGGGGTGAAAATTAGTGGAAGAAACATTAACAACCTCAGATATGCAGATGACACCACTCTGATGGCCGAAAGCGAGGAGGAGCTGAGGAGCTTTCTAATCAAGGTGAAAGAAGAAAACGCAAAAGCTGGGTTGCAGCTAAACATAAAAAAAATCAAGATTATGGCAACAAGAATGATTGACAACTGGAAAATAGAGGGAGAAAACGTGGAGGCCGTGACAGACTTTGTATTTCTAGGCGCAAAGATTACTGCATATGCAGACTGTGGCCAGGAAATCAGAAGACGCTTACTTCTTGGGAGGAGAGCAATGTCCAGTCTCGATAAAATAGTAAAGAGTAGAGACATCAGACTGGCAACAAAGATCCGCCTAGTCAAAGCCATGGTATTCCCTGTAGTAACCTACGGATGTGAGAGCTGGACCTTAGGGAAGGCTGAGCGAAGGAAGATAGATGCTTTTGAACTGTGGTGTTGGAGGAAAGTTCTGAGAGTGCCTTGGACTGCGAGAAGATCCAACCAGTCCATCCTCCAGGAAATAAAGCCCGTCTGCTCACTGGAGGGAAGGATACTAGAGACAAAGTTGAAGTACTTTGGCCACATCATGAGGAGACAGCAAAGCCTAGAGAAGACAATTATGCTGGGGAAAGTGGAAGGCAAAAGGAAGAGGGGCCGACCAAGGGCAAGATGGATGGATGGCATCCTTGAAGTGACTGGACTGACCTTGAAGGAGCTGGGGGTGGTGACGGCCGACAGGGAGCTCTGGCATGGGCTGGTCCATGAGGTCACGAAGAGTCGGAGACGACTGAACGAATGAACAACAACGACATAAGGTTCAAACCGGCAAACTGTTTTAATATATATTTATAACTGTTTTTAATGTATGCTAATTGTATTTTTGTTATGTTATTATATTGTCGGCATCAAATAGTTGCCTGTTGCTTGTTGGAAGCCGCCCTGAGTCCCTCTTTGGAGGTTGAGAAGGACGGGGTATAAATGTTCTAAATAAATAAAATGTCTTATAAAAGATTTGAATTCTAAGTAAAATGCAATCCATTTTTTCTTATTTATGCCTATTGTGAACAGCCAATTGAAAATGCAGTACAGCTATGCATTCTTCCTGAGAATTAAGGCCCATTGAGGTCGGTGGTGTTCTCAAGAAACGAAGTCCTGGGCTGAAATCTCCATGTCAAAATAAGGACAACTCCTTTACAGTTTAGGACTTAGCCAGCACCAGCTATGGCATCTGTACTTTGCATATTAATTTTCCCCATCAGGGAAACCATCAGAGCCCCTCTTAGACAAATGGGAAGAGGCTCCTATGAAGTTTTATTAATTAATTAATTAATTAATTAATTATTTCGGATACCTCTATCCCTCCCTTCTCAACCCCCTAAGGGGGACTCAGGGCGGCTTCCAACCGGCATGCGTTTGAGGCCTACAATTCAACATAATAAAATACATAGTAACAATAATTATAAACAGTTAAAACATTACATTAATACAATAAAAAGCCAGCCTAGTGGCCACTGTTTCACCAAGTCCGTAATTAATAAATTCATTCCGCTTATCATAGTCCATTTCCAAAGTTTTAGTTGTCATTGTCCTTGTCAGTCTGCCAGATTACCCAAAGGCCTGGTCCCATATCCATGTTTTTAATTTCCTTCTGAAAGAGAGGAGGGATGATGATGATCTAATCTCCCCAGGGAGTGAATTCCATTGGCAGGGGGCCACCACCGAGAAGGCCCTGTTCCTTGTCCCCACCAATCTCATCTGTGACAAGAGCAGGGCCGAGAGTAGGGCCCCTCCAGAAGATCTTAAATTCCTAGGCGGGACGTAGAAGGAGATACGTTCGGACAAGTACACTGGGCTGGTGCCATATAGGGTTTTATAGGTCAAAACCAGCACTTTGAATTGTGCTCGGAACTGAATCGGCAGCCAGTGGAGCTGACATAACAGAGGGGTGGTATGCTCTCTGTATGAATGCCGTGGATGTGGCGTACCTGGATTTCAGTAAGGCCTTCAACAAGATCCCCTATGACCTTCTGGCAGACAAACTAGTCCAATGTGGGCTAGGCAAAACTACGGTGAGGTGGATCTGGAATTGGTTAAATGGACAAACCCAGAGGGTGCTCACCAATGCTTCCTCTTCATCCTGGAAAGAAGTGACAAGTGGAGTGCCGCAGGGTTCCGTCCTGGGCCCGGTCCTGTTCAACATCTTTATTAATGACTTAGATGAAGGGTTAGAAGGCATGATCATCAAGTTTGCAGACGACACCAAATTGGGAGGGATAGCCAATACTCCAGAGGACAGGAGCAGAATTCAAAACGATCTTGACAGATTAGAGAGATGGGCCAAAACTAACAAAATGAAGTTCAACAGTGACAAATGCAAGATATTCCACTTTGGCAGGAAAAACGAAATGCAAAGATACAAAATGGGGGACGCCTGGCGCGAGAGCAGTACGTGTGAAAAAGATCTTGGAGTCCTCGTGGACAACAAGTTAAACATGAGCCAACAATGTGATGTGGCACCAAAAAAAGCCAATGGGATTTTGGCCTGCATCAAGAGGAGCATAGTGTCTAGATCTAGGGAAGCTTTTAAGCAGAGGCTGGATGGCCATCTGTCAGGGGTGATTTGCATGCAATATTCCTGCTTCTTGGCAGGGGGTTGGACTGGATGGCCCATGAGGTCTCTTCCAACTCTTTGATTCTATGATTCTATGATTCTAGTGAAAAGCCGTCAAACTAGATATTCTCAGACCACACCACGAATATTGTGTCCAATTCTGGGCACCACAATTCAAGAGAGATATTGACAAGCTGAAATGTGTCCAGAGGAGGGCGACTAAAATGATCAAGGGTCTGGAGAACAAGCCCTATGAGGAGCGGCTTAAGGAGCTGGGCATGTTTAGCCTGAAGAAGAGAAGGCTGAGAGGAGATATGATAGCCATGTATAAATATGTGAGAGGAAGCCACAGGAGGAGGGAGCAAGCTTGTTTTCTGCTTCCTTGGAGACTAGGATGCGGAACAATGGCTTCAAACTACAAGAGAGGAGATTCCATCTGAACACGAGGAAGAACTTCCTGACTTTCTTCCTCGTGTTCAGATGGAATCTCCTCTCTTGTAGTTTGAAGCCATTGTTCCTCTCTCATATTTATATATGGCTATCATATCCAGGGCCATAGCCAGAAAAAAAAATTCGGGAGGGGCTGAAATTTGGGGGGGGGGTTGAAAATTTTGCGGGGGGGGGGGGTTGAAACCTGCCTCCTAGCTCACGCTGAAGCAAAGAGCACAGCAGGGGACAGAGCAGCCTTCAATAGCCTGCAGCTCCGCCCTTGTCAACCACCTCCACCAAGTCTGGCCTCCTTAATGAGAGCATTCAACATCCCCCCCCCCCAACTTGGTTGCTTCACTACTGTTCTGTCGTGCGCTGGGCCTGTAAATAATTGTCTTTAGAACAGGATGTGCAACCTTTGCCCAGCGGGAAGCCAGGGGGCCTAAAGAGAAGTTCTCAGAGGTTTCCACCACAAACAGTCTTTAGATGGCTTGAGAAGTACAACAAAGTCTTTTATTAATGAACAATCAAACAGAAACTTCTCTTGTCTTCAGTAAAGTTAAGCAAATGATTCCAAGCTTTTAGGCAACTGGTGAATTCCTAATCTTGCCCATGAAGGACAGGCAACTGTCTTCAATAACTTCTTCTTTAAAGGAAAATCCCCGTTTTAACTTCTCCCAGGCTCTGTAATCTAACCCTTACTGATGTGGGCTCCGCTACCGGGTCGAACTGCGTCTCGAACACCGAGTGGACCTACCAGCAAGGCAGTAGATGTTCTCCAGCTGGAGTTCTTTGGTCTTTAGGGCTGTTTTCCTGGAAATTCTTTGGAGACTCTTAAGACCTTTCTCCCCCGGAAGGTCTTAAGGGTTGAAACTTTTGTACAGGGGAAGCTTGCACACATCCTATACACAAGCTTTCCTTGCTGAGACTAACTAAAAATGGCTCCCTTCCCTTCCCAATTGCCCTGAGCAAGGGGCGGGACCAAAACTTAACAATGATGGACAGGTGACTTGCCCTATGACTGCAACCAAAGAAGCCACCTATCTGCAGAGTCCCTGAAACCTAGGACTGCAAGCAAACATTTAATACAAGCAAATAAAGTTGGAGCTCCTGGTACAGCTGTACCAGAACAACTACATCGGCTATTGCTGCAAGTAATGACAGTGTGAATAAATTGCTAATATTTGCTTGAGATAGTGCTTTGAGTTCTGGAGGGACTCTTGATTTTTTGCATCTCATAGACTTAGCATGGGGATTTGGTTAACCAGTTAAAATTCATGAGTAAACCAGGTTTTTTAAAAAATCTGAAACATTTCGGGGGGGGGGGGTTGAACCCCTAACCCCCCCCCCCCGCTACGGGCCTGATCATATCTCCTCTCAGCCTTCTCTTCTTCAGGCTAAACATGCCCAGCTCCTTAAGCTGCTCCTCATAGGCTTGTTCTCCAGACCCTTGATCATTTTAGTCGCCCTCCTCTGGACACATTCCAGCTTTTCAATATCTCTCTTGAATTGTGGTGCCCAGAATTGGACACAATATTCCAGGTGTGGTCTAACCAAAGAATAGAGGTAGCATTACTTCCCTAGATCTAGACACTATGCTCCTATTGATGCAGGCCAAAATCCCATTGGCTTTTTTTGCCACATCACATTGTTGGCTCATGTTTAACTTGTTGTCCACGAGGACTCCAAGATCTTTTTCACACGTACTGCTCTCGAGCCAGGCATTGTCCCCCATTCTGTATCTTTGCATTTCATTTTTTTCTGCCTAAGTGGAGTATCTTGCGTTTGTCACTGTGGAACTTCATTTTGTTAGTTTTGGCCCATCTCTCTAATCTGTCAAGATCGTTTTGAATCCTGCTCCTGTCCTCTGGACTATTGGCTATCCCTCCCAATTTGGTGTCGTCTGCAAACTTGATGATCATGCCTTCTAGCCCTTCATCTAAGTCATTAATAAAGATGTTGAACAGGACCGGGCCCAGGACGGAACCCCGTGGCACTCCGCTCCTCACTTCTTTCCAGGATGAAGAGGAAGCATTGATGAGCATCCTCTGGGTTCATCCATTTAACCAATTACAGATCCACCTCACCGTAGTTTTGCCTAGCCCACATTAGACTAGTTTGTTTGCCAGAAGGTCATGGGGGACCTTGTCGAAGGCCTTACTGAAATCCAGGTACGCTACATCCATGGCATTCCCCACATCTACCCAGCTTGTAACTCTATGAAAAAAGAGATCAGATTAGTCTGGCATGACTTGTTTTTGATAAATCTGTGTTGTCTATTAGCGATGACCGCATTTGTTTCTAAGTGTTGGCAGACCACTTCCTTAACAATCTTTTCCAGAATCTTGCCTGGTATCGATGTGAGGCTGACCGGACGGTAATTGTTTGGGTCATCCTTTTTTCCCTTCTTGAAGACTGGGACCACATTGGCCCTCCTCCAATCTGCTGGAACTTCTCCCGCTCTCCAAGAACTCTCAAAGATGGTTGCCAATGGTTCCAAAATGACTTCCGCTAGTTCCTTCAATACTCTTCGGTGTAGTTGATCTGGCTCTGGGGACTTGAACTCATTTAGAGCAGCCAGGTATTCCTGGATGACTTGTTTCCCAATTTGGGGTTGGATGTCCTCAAATCCCTCACCCGCTCCATCTTGCTGAGGTTGAAGATGACTTTCTTTTTGTGAGAAGACCGAGGCAAAGAAGGCATTAAGTAGTTCTGCCTTTTCCCTCTGCCCTGTCAGCATTGCCCCATCTTCTCCTCGAAGAGGCCCTATCGCCTCCTTCTTTTTCCTTTTTCTACTGACATAAGAAGCCCTTTTTAATGTTCCTGGCAAGCCTGAGCTCATTTTGTGCTTTAGCCTTGCGGACCATTTCCCTACAGGTGTTGGCTATTTGTTTGAATTCTTCTTATCATACACACTAGGGAAAGTTCCTCCCTTTCTTCTGAATTTCTTTCAGTGAGATAAGAAGTTTCATTTTCTTTATGTGAAAATTAAACGTTGACATGATTTCAAAAAACTCATAGCTGAGGAATTGGCTGGTACTCCATAGGCAATTTAAACAGCTGCCTTGCATCCCAATTCTGGGAGAAAGATGGGATGATGACCACGATGACTATGATGTAATTATTCTCTTTCACTTCTGAGATGGCTCATAAAACGGACATTTTACAAACTTATTTAGTGTTTAAATCTTGTTCTTACCCTTGGAGCACTCCAGTTGAGTTTAGGAAAAACGCTGCCACCTAGTGAACTGATGGCTTCTTCAACTTTAAGTGCGAACTCAGGGAATTCTGGTGCCTATGCAGACAACAAATGAGGTAAAGTTTGCAAAAGCAAAATCTAGCATAGATGGATTAGATCAAAAAACAACTTAACTGCCGAGGTTGCTGTGCATAAAACAATATTTACAATTACTATATATACTCGAGTATAAGCCTATCCGAATATAAACAGAGGCACCTAATTTTACCACAAAAACTGGGGAAATGTATCGACTCAAATATAAGCTGAGGGTGGGAAATGAAGCAGCTACTGGTAAATTTCAAAATAAAACAGATACAAATAAAATTACATTAATTGAGGCATCGGTAGGTTCAATGTTTTTGAATATTTACATAACACTGTAATTTAAGATAACACTGTCCAACTCTGATTCTAAGCTTCTTCAAGGTAAATGCGCTTATGTATCCTTCCAATAATAATAGAGCAACATAATAAATGTAATAATAATAATAGAGTAAAATAATGAAATATAATAATAACAACAATAATAAAGTAAAATGTAATGCAATAATAGAGTAAAATGATAAATCTAATAATAACAATAGAGTAAAATAATACATGTGATAAAAATAATAACAGAGTAAAATAATAAATAACCTTGACCCGAGTATAAGCCGAGAGGAACATTTTCAGCCTATAAAAAGGACTGAAAAACTAGGCTTATACTTGAGTATAAACGGTATATTTGCAGTTTAGTTTCAAGTCTGATAGAAATCAGAGATGTTAGAAATCATAGACCTGGAAGTTTCCTCAAGGACCATCTGGGCTAATTCCCTGCCACACTGGAGAACAAAACTGAAACCCGTCTGAGAGATAATAATCGGACTTCCATTTAAATACATGCAGGGATGGAGAGCTACCATCCTTTGAGTTCTTATAGTAAAAAACATTCATCTTAATGTTTAGATGACTCTTTTCTTGTAACTTGAATCCATTGGTTTGTATTATAGGAGGATCAACATTTGGGTGTCGAGGGGGGACAGGGAGGAGGAAACTCTGCTCCTCTTACCTTAACTTGGGATGGCAGTGAGGACAATTGTGGACCTAAGTCAGAGAAAGTTACTCCATCTTCCACATGACATTTGTTGAGATATTCAGAATGGTTATCAGGTCACCTCTCATGCCTTCTCTTCTCCTCCCCAAACTGATAATCTAGGGCATGGTTTTCAGGCCTTTGATAATTTTGGTCACCTTTCTTTGGACATGTGTCAGCTTCTCCATATCCTTCTTGAACTGTGGTGCCCAGAAAAGGACATTCAATTCCAGCTAAGGTCTGACCAGAACAGAATAGAAGGGCGCCACTACTTCTCTTGATATGGTCACTATATTCATATTGATGCTGCTCAGATTTTCATAGGATTTTTTGGTCATTACAACAGATAGCTGACTAATGCTTAGTTTGTGATCTGCTAGGACCTCTAAATAAATCAAGATTGAAAGAATAAAAAGTGGCTCATGTTCAAGCCCTGGGGTTGCCTTTGTCAAAACATAACAACAACAACAACAACAACACAATAATAATAATAATAATAATAATAATAATAATAATAAACTTTATTTATACCCCGCCACCATCTCCCCAGTGGGGACTCAGAGCGGCTTACATGGGGCCAAGCCCAGACAACATATTACAGCAGAATAAAAACAAAAACATAAACAACAGGCAACATCATCAAAATTACATAAGGAAAAAAAATTCCAGTAAACTCAGTTACAATAACAGCGGGCGGGCCACATATACAGGATAAAACAATTAAAAGACTCTGATGAGATAAAAATAGGAGCGGGTTATTTGCAGAGAGCTCATAAAAACAAACAGAGTAGTGAAACTAAACTTCCCATTTGGGGGGCGTGTACTCCAGTGGCAGAAGAGTTGAGGGGAGCAATAATATCATGTTGTGCACCTCCTCGCCAAAGTCGCAACGGAAGAGCCAGGTTTTAAGGTTCTTTTTTAATGTTTCTAGTGAAGGGGCTTTCCTGATCTCTCCAGGTAATGAGTTCCAAAGTCAAAGGAGAAGGCTCCCTTGTGCCCACAAGACGAGCTTGTGAGAGTGGTATGGGTGAAAGGAGGGCCTTCCCCGAAGATTGAAGGGGCCGGGTTGGTACATGGAGGAAGATACGGTCACGAAGGTAGGCGGGTCCTAAACTGTTTAAGGCTTTGTAGGTGATAACCTGTACCTTGAATTGGGACCGGAAAATAAACGGCAGCCAGTGGAGTTCCTTAAACATAAGTGAGGTTAAACATAAGTCAGGTTACAGTCTTAAGATGGAAAGTGAGAGAAGAGTGAAGGTATTCATATTAATTTCTACCAGGATTTAATATGATTTCCCTTTCTGCCATTTCCATTGGGACAGTCTACCACACGACACATAGTGATGGTTACAAATTGTCTCCCAACAGCTGTTTGCACCAATTGTCTCATGTAATTCATACTTTTATCTGTGGTTAGTATCTCAAAAATAACATGTATGAATGAAGCTTTATTTAGTTCCTTGAAAAAGCTACTTTTGTTAAAGCTTATGGCTAAAAAAAGTAAAATGGAATTGCATTGGAAGACTGGCATAATGTTTGAAAAAGGGAGGAATAATGTCTGACTACTGAGATAGTTTTTCTTGACTCTAAGCATATGACTCTAAGCCCAGGAACATTAGTTTTCAAGTATGTAGATAAATAAACTTGTTAAAATGTTTTAAAGGTAATGTTTTAAATATGATCAATAAGGTTGCACACACACTGTATTTTTATTTCATTTTAAGTAAATTACTCTGATAAGCTATGATCCTTTCAATTACATCCAACTTCTAATTTAAGCCCCAGGGGAGTGGCGGCATAGAAGTTTAAATAATAAATAAATAAATAAATAAATAAATAAAAGCTCATCCCGTCTAGTGAAATCAGATACAACTGAGTACTTGTGGTAAGTAAAGAACATACCTTTTCTCTGAATATTAGTTTTATCTGATAAACACAATTCCTGAAAATATAAAATGTTAATAAAAAGAATTTTAACATTAAAAAAATAAAAAGAGCCTTACCGTAAGTGTTGTAGTGTTCTCATCATCAGACCACTAAAGAAGGAAATAAAATGAAACAAGTTTTCCCTCTAAAAATAGTTCCACCAGGTTTCTGCATGGGAGCAATTTAAGAGATGTTTGCAAAGTTAGTTCTCATTACAGGATTGGGAGAGAGGGATGTCTTTTCCAGTCTACTTGTTCAATGCTCTCAACTATGACTATTATGAAAACTCTCTGACATAATAAAAAAGGAAGGAGAAATAAAAAAAAGGTTCCAGAGGCAAAAGATGCAGCATTGCTTATGCCTTGGAAAGTGCTCGTTCCTCAAACTCTAAGCATATGGAAGTGAATATTTTCGTATGGTTAGAGTTCTACAAAAAGCTCAAATGAGATGTATAAGCTGTAAAAAAATTAACTACTTGCAAGGCTGAAAATAAGTGAAATTATAAAAAGCAGAATGGGGAAAATAAAATAATTTTCCCCATTCTGCTTTTTATAATTTCACTTATATATATTCCGCTGGGGTCCTGAAGAAAATCTTTCCTTCAATGATGCTATTTGCATTAGAGGAAAATCTCTACTTGTTACTTTTCCATCTCAATTCATCCCTAATAATTAACATTCACTCATACTTAACTGATATTACTTGCATTCTGCAAAAGCTTACACATATTAAATGCAAAGATGCATTAACAGTTAATTCTGCTTTGGCCTTCAGGCAGCAGCTCACAATGTGTAATAAGGTTCTGTCATTGCAGGTTCCCATTCTAGGGCAAATCAGCGTTCTCATTTTGTGTCAGAAGAAATACCAAAAGCAATTGTTACATGCTTACCATAGAGTGAGATAAGGCCACAAAAACCAATTTAAGGTCACATATGACTTTCAGAAAGGAATCCCTAAGATATACAAAAATAAAAAAACCAACTTCCCTTATCACCTTTCTAGTGAGATTGTTGAAGTAGAGCCTGTGAGTAACGTTACAAACAGTAGTATGGGATGCAGAGGTACTTAAATGCAGTGCCACTGGCAATGCTGCATCTTTTGCTTCTGGAAGGGGAAAAAGGGTTACTCGGGAGCAGGAATCTGATGATGAGCAGCAGAGAAAGAGGATCCAGAACATATTTACAGTACCTACAGATGAAGAGTTGTTTGAGGGATTCTCTGGGGATGATGGGTCAATGAGCGAAGGAGAAGAGGGAGACACCATGGATTGTAGTATGGGTGCCAGAAGGGGAAAAAGGGTTACTCGGGAGCAGGAATCTGATGATGAGCAGCAGAGAAAGAGGATCCGGAACATACTTACAGCACCTACAGATGAGGAGTCGTTTGAGGGATTCTCTGGGGATGATGGGTCAATGAGTGAAGGAGAAGAAGGAGACACCACGGATTGGACTAAGATAAGAGAAGTGCAAGCTTCTAGTGATGCCTTTATGGGATTCTCTGGGGGTGAAGACTGGCAATCAGGGAATTCAACTGAGTCCTGGGGGGACCTAAGTCTTGACAGGAGATGGAGGAATTGGAGGGGAAGACAAGGGAATTCACGTGAAGAGCTGGGAGCAACTGCGAGGGATAATGATGGGGCGGTGGTCAGTTCATCTTCTGATGATGATTGGTAAATAAAAGTGGGTTCAGGGGTGATGGGTCCTTGCAGAAGGCAAGGTGTTGGTGAGCGTTCGTGTGTTGGGTGCTGTGTATTGGAATAGATTCTTGTAGACTTGCTGCTGCTTGTTGTTGTTGTTGTTGTTGTTGTTATTATTATTATTATTAAACTTTATTTGTACCCCGCTAGCATCTCCCGAAGGACTCGATGCGGCTTACAAAGGCCAAGGCCTCAAACAACAACAACAGACAATAACAATATAATACAAGCAAATTAAAAACATAAGCAATAACAACAACATTACACTATTACGCAATAAAACCACGGCCGGGCCAATGAAGGGTACAGGTTAAAAAGTGCTGGGTGTAAGAGGTGATATGTTGGGGTTCTGGGCAAGTGCAATGTGCAGAGAGTCCTAAGCTCTAATAAAGTGCTTCTGGGATGTAGTGCTGGAGGTTATCCTATTCTGGAAAGGCACATCGGAATAGCCAGGTCTTCAAGTTCTTCCTAAAAACCGCCAACGTGGGTGCTAGTCTAATGTCTTTGGGGAGAGTGTTCCAAAGTTGGGGGGCAGCCACAGAGAAGGCCCTGTCCCTCGTCCCCACCAAACGAGCCTGCAACGTAGGTGGAATCGTGAGCAGGGCCTCTCCGGATGAACGGAGGGAGCGCGTGGGTTCATTCGGAGAGGCCCTGCTCTCCGGACACGCTTGTTTCGTGTTCGGTGTTGGTTTAGGATCGGCAGTTTGGATCACCTGATCGTTCATGTGTTATTGACCCGGATTGGTTTCTCGTGAATGTGGACTTCTCCCTACCTGGACCGGTCTGGCTATAGACGCTGCTTCTGCGGACACTGGAGCAGCACTGTTTCGGATTTCTCCCGCTTCAACCCTGGACTTCGGCTGACGACGCTTCTCTTCCTGCAGCTCCTCCTTTTCGTTAACCAATTATGTACTGTGCCTTTTTGTTTTGTCTCAGAGAGCTTTGTTCAATTTGTTTATTTTTATCTAGTTAATCTGGATTATATTTCTTTTAACCTTTTTGGACCAGGTCTGGTTTGTTTCTTGGGTTTTGACTAGTGGCACTGCATTTAAGTACCTCTGCATCCCTTTTTCTTTGTTTTCATAAACTCTGTTTTGAAGTCACTTTTGAGTCTGGCCCTTTAAGGTGTCTGTGATTCCAACAGAGATGACTCTTTTTTGCTGATACAGCTATTTCCTCCAAGCCCTGATGACAATCAGATCTCTGAACCAGCACCATGCAAAGAAACAAGCTCTTTACCTTTTCCATAACCAAGATATAGCAACAGGTAGCTGAAGAACCGAGAATAAAGCTATCACACTTTGTACAAACCTGGATTTCCTCAGTCTCATCTTCATTGTTGTCTCCTTGGAAACACGTGGGAGGATCTTCCCTAGAATAAAAGTGAGGAAATTGAACCTGATTAATCTAAAATCACAAAAGCCTAAACATTTGAACATCTAAAATGTTAAGCTTGAGAATATTTTATTCCTGTACTTGTTAAATGACAAAAGGGGCCTAATAATGCAAGATAATGCTGCAAGAGGGAGAGTTGGGTTGGGGAGGGGGACAAAAGAGTAAAGTTTTGCTTCGTTCAAAAAAAGGCATAAGCAGAGTGGACATGGAGCTCCTTGTTTTACGAACCCAGCTTTAAGTGATAAATTGATAGATTATGTTGTACCTTAATTTTAGATGTTATGTTATAATTTGTTCTTATATGCTTGGTTATTATTTTTTTCTTATGTATGCATTGGTTGTTGTATTCAGGCATTGACTGTTTGCCTTTTTGTGATTGGAATCTGCCCTGAGTCCCTTTGGGGAGATTTTATTTATTTATTTATTTATATGCCGCCCTTCTCACTCCGAAGGGGACTCAGAGCGGCTTACAAGGTATATATTACGTACAATATATTATATTATTAGCAAAGTACAATATCAGCATTAAACATTGCCATATTGCACCATACCACTATATCGTAATATTATTAGTAATATTACATGTAATATAAATATATAATTATAGTATCTTATTATTATATTGCATAGGGCGGAATATAAATAAAGTTATTATTATTATCATCATCATTGTCGTTGTCATCATCATCATCCTAGTATACTGAATATGTAAGTTCCTGCACGAGAGTTAACTGGCTTCGCAAGGAAATAGTCATTTCCTCCACCCACAATGATGTTGATTTATGCCAACAAAATCTTCTAATGGATCTACTCACCCCATTCCCTGCTGTCTGTACAAAACCAAGATATGAATTCAATCACTTGATATGAATAGAGATGGGAAGGGATTGCAGTCTTCAAAATATGATTGGAATGAGAACATTTGTTCTGACCTATCTGACTCCCCCCCCCCAATAATGCATTCTGTTCATTGATTTGTAACCAGAAGAAAAAAAATCTGATAACCCAGGCTACCATGTAAAAAAACCAAAATCATAGGTCACAGTTTTCAGAACTGTCGTCAAATCTGTGATTTTTGGGGGTATTCTGTCAGCCATATCCACCATGGAAAACAGCAGGGGTGGGGGGTGGGGGGTGCTACTTCTCAATCATATTTATTTATAAGATCTCTAGAAATCTTTGAACATTGGATACTCTTACCTGCCTGAAACTACCAAAGTTCCATCATCGAGCAAATAGTCTTTTACATTCTGTGGCAGTGGAATGATGATACTGAATGGGAGAGAAAGGAAACATGTAAATCTGAAAACACAGAAAAACAACTTTTCTATGCAACAATGTTTTGTTAGTGCACTTCAGTAATATTAAACTTCTCAGTTTAACACAAAAGCATTCCTTAAAGGAAAAAATATTTTTGTCAAAGTATGAAAATAACTGTAAATCAAGAAGGAACACATCTATCAAAGCCTTCCGGTAGACTTCAGCAGCCCAGAGAATAGAAGTAGTTCCAAATGATTTTTTTACACTATTCCTCCATGGTGCAGGATTTCATTTCTTTATACTGAGACAAACAGAAAATCAATATAGCACTTTCTTAATCCTTCAAATTGATCAATAGCGTTGTCCATGAAAAACACACCTTATTTCCTGTATTTTGAAGTTGTACACTGACACTCATTTTGGAATGGGGAAGATATGCAAACTGAGAATACATTGACAGATGACAATATAAAGTATTTTAATTAATTGTTCCTATATTTATGGGACCCTCAAACAAATATATTCTCTTCCATATAAAAACTGATTGGAAAGTCAACTACCCCGTTCCCACTTTACCCCTAAAAAAACCAAACAAAAAACTGATGATAAGCAAAACACATTGCTCATAGACATTGAAAATATTGCTCATGGATGTTAAGGCTTGATGGCTAGATGGAGCGTTATGTGTGAGAGAATGAAAAATATATGCTGTCCACTCTTTCTTCTCAAGCGCTATGGTGTAAGAGAATGAATTTTCCCTCACCTTCGGATAGTCTGGCTCTTGAAGTAAGGATACCAGGAAGAGAACTGACATTTCAGCACCTGCTCCTTCTTCATTCTTTGCAACTTCCTCACTTTGCAAGATAGTCCTCAGATCTGAAGAGGAAAATTGGGGATAATAGAGTTGTCGAGAGTGGGAATAAGGAAATAAAGGAAAAACACAGAAGGGCAAGCCTATCATAAAAATACCAGAACGTCACACATTCTGATAGAGCCCCAGCACCATAGACCCCCTTCTACACTGCTCTATACCTCAGGATCTAGTCCCAGATTATCTGCTTTCAAGTGGATTATATGTGTCTCCACTGACAGATAATTTGGGATAAGCAGATAACTTGGGAACCAGATCCAAGTATATAGGGGCAGCATGGAAGGGGCCTCAATGTAGTCTGAGGCCCCTTCCACACAGCTGCATAAAATCCACATTATCTGTTTTGAACTGGATTATATAGCAGTGTGGGCTCAGATAATCTAGTTCAAAGCAAATAATGTGGATTTTCTGAAGTGATAATCTGGAGGGGGGGGGGGACAGAGGACAGTTCCCTCTTGTCTCCTGCATATGTCATCAGTTGGAGACCCCTCCGCCCTGCACCAGATGCTGCTCTGGGCCAGAGTGAAAAGAGAAGGGGACAGAAGGCAGTTCCACCTTGTATCCTGCACTATTCTTTTTTTAAAAAAAAATCTTTAAAAAAAAGCCAGAATACATGATTATGATAAAATATCAGTAGAATTAGATAGATAGTATAGAGATAAAGTACTTAAGAAAAGTTGTAGGGTGGGTAGGGGTAGACAGTTTGGGAAGATGGAGTGGTCAGGAAGAAATAGCACAAGGGATTAAATAGGTGGTGAGTAAAAAAAAGTCAATAAATAGATAGACAGGGTTAAGGAAAAGAAAGTGAGAGAAAGGGAAAGAGAAGGAAAAAGTGAAAGGGTATATGCAGGTAAGATTATTATTATTGGCTCGTTATAGAACTCCTACCAGAACAGAGCCTGTACTACTGAAGAGAGTTGCATTAAGTATATTGTGATAACAGACTACATCCTGAAGAAGATAATTTTTTCGAAACAAGGATAACATACCGGGAGACCTTGTTGAAATTTTGTTACCCAAGGAAGACTCTGTTGCCTAAGAAGTACTCCTTAAGACTGTGTTGCCAAAAGAAGAATTCTTTTGAGGATAAAGACAGAGACTTTTGAATTCCTTCACTGAAATGCGACTCCAGGAAAGGATGGACTTTATTATCTGTAGTCTACTGTTTATTTCTCTATGTTGACAAGATAATCTGCATTTACTTATAATGTGCTGATAACATTCCTGTTAAATGCTATAAAGTCTCAGACAATTTACTCCATTAGAGAGCATATAATCCTGATTTATATTACTTTTTTGAGAGTGTTATAAAATATACATACATACATTCTTGTTTCTATGTTACTATAGATATTTGTGCATTGTTTGCATATAGCCCGAAAAAACCTACAACAACCCACTTCTTTGTTGTTGTTCTTTCGGTCAGTTGTTTCCGACTCTTCGTGACTTCATGGACCAGTCCACGCCACAGCTTCTTGTCAGTCGTCACCACCCCTAACTCCTTCAAGGTCAATCCAGTCACTTCAAGGATACCATCCATTCATCTTGCCCCTCTTCCTTTTTCCTTCCATTTTCCCCAGCACCATTGTCTTCTCTAAGCTTTCCTTTCTTCTCATGATGTGGCCAAAGTACTTCATCTTGGCCTCTACTATTCTTCCCTCCAATGAGCAGTCAGGCTTTATTTCTTGAAGTATGGACTGGTTGGATCTTCTCGCTGTCCAAGGCACTCTCAGAACTTTCCTCCAGCACCACAGTTCAAAAGCATCTATCTTCCTTCGCTCAGCCTTCCCTATGGTCCAGCTCTCACATCCGTAGGTGACTACGGGAAATACCATTGCTTTAACTATGTGGATCGTTGTTGCCAGTGTGATGTCTCTAATCTTCACTATTTTATCAAGATTGGTCATTGCTCTCCTCTCAAGAAGTAGGCGTCTCCTGATTTTCTGGCTGCAGTCTGCGTCTGCAGTAATCTTTGCACCTAGAAATACAAAGTTTGTCACTGCCTCCATGTTTCCCCCCTCTATTTGCCAGTTGTCAATCATTCTTGTTGGTTTTTTTTTTTTTTTGAAGTTTAACTACAACCCAGCTTTTGCGCTTTCTTCTTTCACCTTGATTGGTAGGCTCCTCAGCTCCTCATTGCTTTTGGCCATCAAAGTGGTGCAATCCTCATATCTAAGGTTGTTAATGTTTCTTCCAGCAATTTTAACCCCAGTCTTGCATTCATCAAGCCCCGCACATCGCATGTGTTCTGCATACAAGTTAAAAAGGTTGGGTGAGAGTATGCAACCTTGCCGTACGCCTTTCCAATCTTGAACCAGTCTGTTGTTCCGTGGTCAGTTCTTACTGTTGCTACTTGGTCCTTGTACAGATTCCTCAGGAGAGAGATAAGGTGATTTGGTATCCCCATACCACCGAGAACTTGCCACAATTTATTATGATCCACACAGTCAAAGGTTTTAGAATAGTCAATAAAACAGAAATAGATGTTTTTCTGAAACTCCCTGCCTTTCTCCATTATCCAGCGGATATTGGCAATTTGGTCTCTTGTTCCTTTGCCTTTTCTAAACCCAGCTTGTACATCTGGCAACTCTCTCTCCATGTATTGCCGGAGTCTTTCTTGCAGGATCTTGAGCATTACCTTACTGGCATGAGAAATAAGGGCCACTGTACGGAAGTTTGAGCAGTCTTTAGCATTTCCCTTTTTTGGTATGGGGATATAAGTTCATTGTTTCCAGTCTGATGGCCATTCTTGTGTTTTCCATGTTTGCTGGCATATGGCATGCATACCTTGACCTCATAATCTTTCAAGATTTTAAACAGTTCAGCTGGGATCCCGTCATCTCCTGCTGCCTTGTTTTAGCAATGCTTCTTAAGGCCCATTCAATCTCAGGATATCTGGTTCTAATTCATTCACCACACCATCAAAATTATCCTCAATATTATTATCCTTCCTATAAAGATCTTCTGTATAGTCTCGCCACCTTCTCTTGATCTCTTCAGCTTCTGTATGTATATCTTCTGTATGTATATAGATATATGTATATCTTGTAAGCCGTTCTAAGTCCCCTTTGGGGTGAGAAGGGCGGCATATAAATGTCGTAAAAATAAATAAATAATATGGATGTGTGGAAGGGCCCTTACAAAATGCACAATTGTGACAAAGCCCCCTTCTACACTGCCGTATAAAATCCAGATTATCTGATATGGCAGTGTAGACAAAAATAATACAGTTCAAATCAGATGTGGATTTTCTGCTTTGATAACCTGGATTATCTGGCAGTGTAGAATGGGGCCTCAAAGATTCACTGTGCAAATAATAATTACACCTATCTAATCCAAAGTAATGACCCTTCTACACTGCCTATAATCCAGATTATCAAAGATGATGTCCCTAAATCTATTTGCCTATAAACAATACACATTTGTACATATCTTAGGTAAAGATTATAATATTTATAATATTATGATGTAATACAATATAATACTAGTAATAATAACTCAATATTATAATTATATATGTACATTACATGTAATATTACTAATAATATTAGAGTATAATGGTATAGTGCAATATGGTAAAATATACTGATATTGTACTATGCTAATAATATAATATATTGTATGAAAATATATATTGTAAGCCGCTCTGAGTCCCCTTCGGGTTGAGAAGGGCGGCATATAAATGCCGTAAATAAATAAATAAATAATAATAAATAAAGACTTATTAATTCCCATGGTAAGCAGTTATCCCCACCATCTGATAGACTTTGACCGTGTGCGCAGAGCTCCCTCTCTAGCTTTGTTTTCTTTCTCTCTCTCTCCTTACCTGCCGTTCTCCTCTGCCTTCCACACAAATCTTCCTCACTTCCGGAATAGAGCGGTGACAGACAAACCAATGAAAATAGAGGAGGGTTTATCCTGCATTCTGATTGGGCAAAACGTTTACTGACGTGCCTCTAGACGAATCAAAAGCAGCCTGGGGTCGGACAGTGTGAGGCAGCACAGGCCTAACTCTGTCTGCGTCAGTAGCAGGGCTCCCACCCGCTTTAGAATGAGGAACAGTGCAAAATAAAGGAGCAAGAAAGTGAACCCAGAAGTTGGGTATCTTTGAGTGAGTCTACCCTAGAAAGGCCTCAGAGAGACCTCCGAATTCCTCTACGAACAAGGCACGTGCGCACAATTTCGATCCGCTTTGACCGTAGAGAGAGCACTTTAACAGAGAGTCAGCTGCCATTGAGGTTTCGGAGGCGGCGTTGTTCTCCCGCGCGCTCCTTCCAACCAATCAACGGGAAGAACCCCAAAGCGCTGTGCTTCCTCCTCTCCGGAAGGTTTCAGGTAAGCGCGAGACGAGCTCCGGAGCAGGCGCTCGTGGCTGTAAGAACACGTGACCGTTTCGCCCGAGGGAATTCTGCGGCACTCAAGGTTCCACAGCGCGTATCCATAGCAACAGCTTCGATAGCTGCTTCAGCTGCTATCGAAGTATTATAAGGAGTGTAGTGTGGACGCTAGGGTGTTCTTTTACCCGTTGCAGAAAACTATGAGAAGGAAAAGGGGCAAGGAGCACGTTGAATTCAAACCACACAGTTATGGCGCCTGTCAACAGCTGGGCTTGAGCCTAGGGACCCTTCTACGTAGCCATATAACCTAGAATATCAAGGTAGATGATCCACAATATCTGCTTTGAATTGGGTTATCAGAGCTCACATGGCCATATAATCCAGTTCAATGTGGATTTTATACATCTGTGTGGAAGGGGCCTAGGCTGGGGAAAACAAGGAAGCAAAGTCTTTCCTCGTGCAAAAATTAGCATAATTACTTTCGCAAGACATAAATATCTATTTATTATTTATTTACAACATTTATATGCCGCCCTTCTCACCCCAAAGGGGACTCAGAGCGGCTTACAAGATATATATACATCCAACATATATTATTAGCATAGTACAATATCGGTATTATATATTACTATATTGTACTATACCATTATATTGTAATGTTGTCAGTAATATTACATGTAATGTAAAATATATAATTATAATATATTATTAGTAGTATTATATTGTATTTATTATATATGATTATTTATTTATGACATTTATATGTTGCCCTTCTCTCCCCGAAGGGGACTCAGAGCGGCTTACAAGGTATACCACTATATCGTAATATTATTAGTAATATTACATGTAATATAAATATATAATTAGGTCATATTATTAGTAGTATTATATTGCATTACATTATAATATTATATATATTAAATGTATATACAATATATTATATTATATTATTAGAATAGCACAGGAGACAAGGTGGAACTGTCCCCTTGCCCCCTCTTTCTTCACTCTGGCCCAGAGTGACAGTTGGTGCTGGAGAGAGGGGTCTCCAGCTGATGACATATCCAGGAGACAAGATGGAACTGTCCCCTGGCCTCCCCTCTCTTTACTGGCCCACAGCAGAAGCTGGTGCCAGGGGGAGGGGCCTCCAGCCAATGGCACATCCAGGAGACAAGATGGAACTGTCCCCTGGCCTCCCCTCTCCTCATTCTGACCCACAGCGGTATTATATTATAATATTATAAATACATGTATACACACTATATTATATTATATTACATTATATTATATTGCTAGCTTGGGGACCCGGTGCTGCCTGGGTTATTAGAGAAAGTGGGTAATGGCGGTTCTGTATGCCAAGTTTGGTCTTTATCAGTCATTGGATGAGGGTGGCAGTGGTTTCAGTTAAGTGAGTGAAGGTACTGCAAGTCCCATTATCCAAAGTCCATCCTCCTTCAAACTGCAACAGGATGTAGAGTGGGTCATGGGGGCTCTGTGTGCCAAGTTTGGTCTTGATTGGTCATTAGATGAGGGTTGCAGCAATCTTGGAAGGAAGTGAAGGTACTTGAAGTCCCATCATCCATGGTCTGTTCTCCTCCAAACTGCACCAGGATGTAGAGTGGGAAATTGGGGCTCCATGTTCCAAGTTTGGTCTTGATTAGTCATTGGCGAGGGTCTCAGTGGTCTCAGAAGGTGAGTGAAGTTACTGCAAGTCCCATCATCCATCTCCATTTTTTTCCAAACGACACCAGGATGTAAAGTGGGTCATGAGAGGTCTATGTACCAAGTTTGGTCTTGATCAGTCATTGGAAGAGGTTCGCAGAGGTCTCAGAATGTGAGTGAAGGTACTGGAAGTCCCATCATCCATGGTCAACCCTCCTACAAAATTGCAGCAAGATGTAGAGCAGGTCATGGGGGCTTGTGTGCCAAGTTTGGTCTTGATCAGTCATTGGTGAGGGTCTCAGTGGTCTCAGGAAGTGAGTGAAGTGACTGCAAGTCCCATCATCCATTGACAAATTCTTCCAAACCGCACCAGGATGTAGAGTGGGTCATGCGTACTCTCTGTGTAAATTGATCCATCATTGTTGGCAGTTGTAATGGTCTTAGGAAGGGAGTGCAGGTATTGCAAGTCCCATCGTCCATGGTGCATCCTCCCCCAAACTGCACCAGGATGTAGAGTGCGTCATGGAGACTCAGCGTGCCAAGTTTGTTCTTTATCGCTAATTGGATGAGGTTTGCAGTGGTCTCAGGAATTGAGCAAAGGTACTGCAAGTCCCATAATCCATGGTCCATCCCCGGCCAAACCACACCAGGACGTAAAGTGGGTCATGAGAGGTCTATGTGCCAAGTTTGGTCCTGATCAGTCATTGGATGAGGTTAACAGCGGTCTCAGAATGTGAGTGATGGTACTGCAAGTCCCATCATCCATGGTTCATCCTCCTCCAAACTGCAGTAGGATGTTGAGTGGGTCATGGGGGCTCTGTGTGCCAAGTTTGGTCTGTATTGGTAATTTTCTGACTCCGCCCCCTCTGGCCTTTTCCTTTCCTCTCTTTGTCATCTCGGAATCTTGGAACTGAGGCTGGCCTTCTCTCGTGTCTCCATTTCTCTCATTAACTGTCTTCGCCACCAGGGGGGTCCTGTTGAGGTTGGCCAATCAGAGACCATATGCAAATAGCACCACAGTGGCAGCCAATCAGAAAGCTGCCACATATCCCTCCGCCCTATGTCCGCCGCACTTCTGCCCTCTGCATACAAACTTTGACTTTTATTATAGACTAGCTTGGGGACCCGGCGCTGCCCGGGTTATTAGAGAAAGTGGGTAATGGCAGTTCTGTATGCCAAGTTTGGTCCTTATTGGTCATTGGATAATGGCTGCATTGTTTTCAGAAAGTGAGTGAAGGTACTTGAAGTGCCATCATCCATGGTGCACCATCCTCCAAACAGCAGCAGGATGTAGAGTGGGTCATGGGGGCTCTGTGTGCCAAGTTTGATCTAGATTGGTCATTAGATGAGGGTTGAGCAATCTTGGGAAGGGAGTGGAGGTACTTGAAGTCCCATCATCCATCGTCTGTCCTCCTCCAAACTGCAGCAGGATGTAGAGTGGGTCATGGGGGCTCTGTGTGCTAAGTTTGGTCTTGATCAGTCATTGGATTAGGGTCGCAGTGGTTTCAGTAAGTGAGTAAACGTACTGCAAGTCCCATAATCCATGGTCAACCCTCCTCCAAAACTGCAGCAGGATGTAGAGTGGGTCATGGGGGCTCTGTGTGCCAAGTTTGGTCTAGATTGGTCATTAGATGAGGGTTGCAGCAGTCTTGGGAAGGGAGTGGAGGTACTTGAAGTTCCATCATCCATGGTCTGTCCTCCTTGAAAGTGCACCAGGATGTAGAGTGGGTCATGGGGGCTCTGTGTGCCAAGTTTGGTCTTGATCAGACATTTGAGGGTTGCAGCAGTCTTGGGAAGGGAGTGGAGGTACTTGAAGTCCCATCATCCATGGTCTGTCCTCCTTCAAAGTGCACCAGGATGTAGAGTGGGTCATGGGGACTCTGTGTGCCAAGTTTGGTCTTGATCAGTCATTGGCGAGGGTCTCAGTGGTCTCAGGACGTGAGTGAAGTGACTGCAAGTCCCATCATCCATAGTGAAATTCTTCCAATCCGCACAAGGATGTAGAGTGGGTCATGCGGGCTCTCTGTGTAAATTGTGGTCCTGATCCATCATTGTTGGCAGTTGTAATGGTCTTAGGAAGGGAGTGCAGGTATTGCAAGTCCCATCGTCCATGGTGCATCCTCCTCCAAACGCACCAGGATGTAGAGTGGGTCATGGAGACTCAGTGTGCCAAGTTTGGTCTTTATCGGTAATTGGATGAGGGTTGCAGTGGTCTCAAGAATTGAGCAAAGGTACTGCAAATCCCATAATCCATGGTCCATCCCCGGCCAAACCACACCAGGACGTAAAGTGGGTCATGAGAGGTCTATGTGCCAAGTTTGGTCCTGATCAGTCATTGGATGAGGTTAACAGCGGTCTCAGAATGTGAGTGATGGTACTGCAAGTCCCATCATCCATGGTTCATCCTCCTCCAAACTGCAGTAGGATGTTGAGTGGGTCATGGGGGCTTTGTGTGCCAAGTCTGGTCTGTATTGGTAATTGTCTGACTCCGCCCCCTCTGGCCTTTTCCTTTCCTCTCTTTGTCATCTCGGAATCTTGGAATTGAGGCTGGCCAATCAGAGACCATATGCAAATTTCCTTCTCATGTCCCCGTTTCTGCCATGAACTCTTTTCTCCACCAGGGGCTCTTATTGAAGCTGGCCAATCAGAGACCATATGCAAATAGCACCGCTGCCCAGCCAATCGGAATCTTGGAACTTTCAGGCTGTCCAATCAAAACGCTGGCACATACTCCTCCCGTCGCACCGCCACACTTTTGTCCGCCGCATACAAACTTTCACCTTTATTATATAGATAGATAGATATATAGATATAGATATATAGATATATAGATATAGATATATAGATATAGATATATAGATGAGTAGACTCCAGTAGTCACATGAATTGACTCCAACCTACGACCGGTTTCGGTTCCCAAGAGCCTTCGTCAGGTGGTTGGGTCTACACACATACAATTGAACAATTTGTTATATCAAGTTTGTAAGAATATATACAGACACTCTACTTACTCAAATTATCACAAAAAGCTCAACTTTTGAGGTGAGCAATTCACCTAGTGTCTTCTGGAGGGGTGGATCCTAAGGGGACATAGATAGTGGCTAAAGGTAATATTACATTGCAACATGAATTATAACTATAGAGAAATACAATATCTATGAAACAAAAATAATATAATACTCACAGCTAGTCTTTGTTGAGCAATATATCCTGCAAGAAGTTTTATTCTGTGGCGAGTATAGGATCAAAATAACTCAACCCATTACTGATATAGCAAGTACATTGGTCAGGTGATAGTTACATCGTTAGCAGTTAAGAATACATTGGGGTAAAACCTAC